GTTTTGCAAATTTTTTTTCAAAAATTGGTACGTATTAATAATATTTTTTTTACGTCTTTTTCAGTATTTATCTGATTTTCTTTACTGAATTAAACTTTCAGCAACGTTCGAAAATAAAATAAGTCTTTGTCTCAAATTGTTGATGGAAAAAGACTTGTGCATATTATGTAAGAATAAGACTAATCTAAACAGTTGTTGTATTCGTGCATGCAGTAGGATTTTTAGTATATGTTGGCATATTTTTTGTTTTATAAAAGCTGTCAATTAAACCCTGAAAAGACGAAAACTTTGAAAACAATTTTGAAAAAAATTGTTTTTTTTGTAAAAATTTAGCAGTGATTTTTGATGGTTTTTTAATCGTGAACTTTTTAATGAAACAGGCAGTGAAGCTATGTCAATATCGTTATTTTATTTGACCTCAGTTTGATCGTGCATTAACGAAATGAAATGAACAAAAGAGCCTGTCGAGAAGAAATGTGTAAAGATTATTGTTTGCAGAAATGACTGGTTTTCTGCCTTTAAAAATATTAGTTTCTGGAATTAATCTCAAAAGAGTGATACTTTGGACGTTATTCATTGATAGGCAAAAAAAGTAGTAATTTGTGCAAGCAATAATCTTTACACATTATGTGATCATTAAAAAAAATCATTTAAGATGATTTTCGATGTTTGCCATGAATTCATTAATACGAATTATGTTAAATATCATGGAAGTTGATATGGAAACGTGAAATGATGTAGAAAGTAACGGAAGTCTTCTGCATTATTCTCTTACATATCCTTAAATACTCATGGCTATCTATATTCACTATCAGTTAATTTAATCATTGAACACCAACTGCTTCTTGAAAATCTTTTAATGTACTGATATTTATCGAGAACAAATTGCTGTAAGTAACAGCAGCTAATAAATAAGCATCATATCATCATACTATTCAAAGAAGCATAAATTATCGTTTATTTCTCCTTAAAAATTTGTTTTCATAGGATTTAATATAGAAAAATTAAAAGGAAATAGTATTGAAAATTCAATATCTCCAAAGAGGTCTGTCCTATCTTCGTCATGTTATTCTTAGCCGTTAGAAGTAATGAATATTAATGCGTGTGCTAAAGGGTATTCAAATTTTTTCATATATGTATTTGCATTTTGACGTCAATATGATTTACAGCGATAAGATAGTGATAACTATTGATGTATCTCTTTAAGTAATACTTTGGAGATTGACATAAATCATAATGGGATTGCCTTCAATCATTTTACACTTTTTTCTATTATTGTACTCCTGCAAAATATATTTATCTATGCTATAATCATATCAATATACTGAACATTATATGCGGCGTAAGTTAACAAACACATCCTTAATTAGATAAACATTAGAATTTGCATAAGCATATAGCAGCCCTTACTCATAAACACACGCGCACAAACCTATAGGAGCGCATATATACGTATACTTTTCAAGTGAATCGTAATTAAACGTAGATACAGATATACACAAACACATAGGATACACATATATATGAACATGTTCAGCATATGCATACACGAGTAGTACCAACACATGCGTCCTGTATCAACAATATTTTGATTTACATGGCTTGCTTCTGACTAATTTGATGCAACGATAACGAATTTGGGTTGCTAATTAACATGTGGGTAATTTATCGTTCATATTTATCTTCCCTCTAAATTTCGTCTCAGTCTTATGGCATTGTTTACGTATTTATTTCTTAAAAAATCAAATAAAAGATTAATAGTCGTACATTTCTTTCACTGATCTCAATTTCTGATAACAATTATTCAGTTTTTTTTATTTTTTATTATCCTTCAAAAAATATTGTTTGCATATTTCAATATTAAATCGTTTTTTAGCTCAATGCCTTTATTTCGCATTAAATCGGCTATATCCAATGTTATTTCTACTTTTTATAGTGATATAAATATTATTTTTAATTAACTTGCAGATGTGATCCAAATGATTGCAAGTTTTGCTTCTCACATTTGTTCAAAAAGCGACAAAGTCATTAGTATTGCTGATGGAAGTACTAAGATTGGGATTTCTTCATTATCCATCCTGTATTTGTATAATTATTTATTGCTGCAATAACATCGTGAACATTCTCATAGCTTAACAACTGCAACTGCAATTGTGATAAAAGAAAGTACCAGAAGTTTAAGAGGTAAAGATAAAGAACTATGGATCGTGCAAAAAAACGTTTGGTATCAGCGTTAGATGGATTCAGAAATCAACATAAAGCTGAAATAGAACTTGATGAAAAAGTCACTACGACAGATGTTTGTTTGAAAAGGGTAAGTTATTAACTCTGTTTTACTTTTTAAATAATATTTCAGTGCATCAAAGTAATTTGTTGCTTTGCATATTAAAAGAAAGTAGTGTAAGTATTAGTCTTCCTAACACTTCATCAATTCTTAATAAATCATTTAAAATCCCTTTTACACACTTCAAAATGTTATGGAACTTTCTTTCTAATATCATATTATTCTTAGTTAATAATATGAAAGATTTTGTAAATGAATTTAATCGCCAAAATTTGAATTTAATTTGTTTGAACAGTTTATTTGCACAAATTGTTTTGCTACGAATTTATTCGATTTATTTGCAGTAACCGAAAAACTGTAGTTATTTCAGCTCATAATATGAGCATTACAAATGTAATCTCAGGAAAGCATTAGATGGCTTCAGAAATCAACATAATCTAGTTTAATTCTATTTGTGAGAACTGTCCATTTATCATGTATACTTGTAGATAGTGAGGCATGGATTTCCCGACGATCCGCGATGTATGGCTTACGATCCTGTACAGAAATTGCTGGCCATAGGTACAGGACAAGGACTAATCAGAATTATTGGAGATTCTGGAGTTGATAGTTGCTTGAAACATGAATCAGATGCTGCTGTGCTTCATATTCAATTTTTAATAAATGAGGCTTCTTTTTCAATTCCCCTATCGTTTTATAGAATCATATAGTTTCCTGAAAAGTCTGTAACTGCATACAAATTTAATGTGATGTTATATGTTATAGAAGTTCATTGGAAGGTTAGGAGTTAGAAAAAAAATAGGAGTTCATAGGAAGATTGGAAGTACGGTTTAAGAGTAGGGAATAGTGTGATTGAGGATGATAAACTCAGAGTATATTTCATTACCTTCGTAGAGAAGTTTATAAAGTTTACAAAACCTGCTAGATGTTTTGGCAGTCTTTAATATTTTCAAATCATTCAGTGGCGGAAAGACTAAGATTGGAAAATATATATGTTGATATGTTTGTATGTTGCTAGTATGTAAACATACTCCGTCTTCTTAATGTAATAAAACGTTAGTTGATTTGTAGAAAAAAGTTTAACAAAGACTTAGAAGACAATTCTAAGAAAAGGTTTAGGAAATAGTATAAATAAAGAAAGAAACGTGGATGAATGTTAACTAGTATACAAGTAGTAAAAGTGAAGCGACAACCGTTATAATGTATGAATATATGAAAGATTAGTATTTGTAGGGTGCATTAGTTACGGCATGTCGAGATGATCTTATACATCTATGGAACTTTCGACAAAAGGTTAAATGAATTATTTATTTTTTTATTTAGAAAGTAGCATATATTGTTGTATGCATCACAAATCATATTAGTTTTGAACATATATTATTTAAAATTTGATGTCAAATCAAAAATAAAACAAGTGTTTTGTATTATTTTGTGTGGAGATAAAATTCTGCAAAAAATATCTAACTCGAAAATGAAGAGCTCTAATGATGTATTTTTTAAATCATGAATACAGTTTAGGTACCAGAAGTTTTGCACAGTATGCAGTTAACGAAGGAAAAAGTGACCTGTTTAAGTCATCCATTTCAAAGCAAATGGCTCTATGTGGGAACTGAACGTGGCAATGTATATTTTATCAATGTCACCTCGTTTACGTTATCTAGTTATGCCATTAACTGGAACAAAGCTATTGACTTGTATGTTTTTGCAAAGCAAGTTATAAACATGATTTTATTATCAGAAAGAAGATACGAATGTGTACAAAATTTCCCTTCAAAAAATCCACGTTATAGGTTATTTAAATCATGATTTAAATGATCTATGACGTGGATTTTTTACAAATTTTCTGCACATGTATTTTTTCTTTCATATATGAAAATGAAGAAATAAAACGTTGTGGTTTTCAACTGCCATCAAAAAAATAACATTATTCTAATACGAAAGGAAAAAGTACGAAAGTATCGCTGGAATCCATTTCTTTCACTTTTTTAAATTTAAGATTAAATGACGTTTAGATCCAAGGAAATGAAAAAAAAGTTGTTTTCTATTACAGGACAAAAATTGATAGTTTTATTCAGTGTTAATTTTTTCCACTGCAAAAATAATCAGGAGTAAAAGATATTTGAAGGAAAAGTATTACTTCGTCAGTTCTGTATTATTGCTTCTATTCGTATTCTTCTGTTTATTTTCATTTTTGTGGTGTTTAAATGAGAAATATTAAATATGCAACGACAGAATTCCGAATTTGATTCCAAATAAAAACAGTGTTTTGTAAATACACTTTCAGAGGAGTTAGAACTCATCCTGGTAGTGTCAAAGCCATTTCAACTTCACCAACAGAACCTATTAAGTTGTTGATATTGTATGAGAAAGGAACCGTCATATTATGGAATCTTCAGACCAAAGAAGTATGTACCATATTTAAAATTGTTACTTAATAATGTTTATATTTGATACAATTTCTGGTTATTTACTTACTATTTTGTTTCAAATTTCTTGCAGGTGGACAGGTTCACATCAGATCATCCTGCTCGTTGTATTTCTTGGCATCATAATGGTCGACAGTTCATGTGTGGTACTGCAGATGGTTCACTGTTGATCTGGAATATAAAAAAGGCAAGCGAGTACAGTCAGAGGTTGCAACCTCATGGGCAGAGATGTCGACCTATCACACAGGTTCTTCTCCTCATTTCGTGTAAATTTTCACATTTTAGAACCAATTACAAGTTTCATTATTTCTGGAATCAAGAATTGGAAATTTTGCTTGTCCATTTCTAACATAACAAAGTTCTAGGTTGACTGGAGGCATTCAGCTGATGGAGAACAGTTAATTATTTTTTCTGGCGGTAAGTACTTCAGTTACTTGGTTATGAAAAACTATCCTATATGTGGGCACAAAATATATCTTCATTTTTCTAGAACGTAGCAGTGTTTGGGAATTTTCAGGGTTGTCACAAGATGATGGTGTACTTCCGGCACTAACGATAATGAGAGCATCAAAAACAGCCACAGTTTTGGAATTGGACCATCCACTGGTAATATTCGTTCCATTAAGTGCGACGCCATATACTAGCGTATCACAACAACCTTTTTCTGTTGCAGTACTTATAAAATATGACATACTTATTATCGACCTTACAACACCCAGGTTTATTATATGAGTTTTATACTAAACATCTTGTATAGTTTTTACTTTATTCTATAGAAATCATTCATTTTAAATATGCTGAAATTTGTCTTGTTTGAAAATGATGTAATTTTCTGTCTCGTTAGAATTTTTTTTTTGTTCTTTTGAGACATCTAATTTATCTCAAAATTCGAAATATATTACTTACTTTTATGTTTTAGCTATCCGTGCCATGAAAATGTGAATCCGATGGACATACATGAGTCGCCGGTGCGATGTATTAGCTATTTTTCCAATTGTCCTCTTGATTTACTTGGTGCTCTAGCGCTTGTTGGTTCGAAACAGCGGCGTCAGGGATTCAGCGACAAGGTAGATTTTTTTGGCTATACTTTAAAGTAATTGTTTGCAAAAATTTTTCTCAGAAATAAAGAGTTAGTTCTTGCACATAATAAAAACTTTATTTATAGCCATGGCCTGTCACTGGAGGTTGCGGACGCGATTGTGCAATGGGTCATCAAGAATTATTACTAACTGGGCGAGTTTTTGCTAATGAAAACCAAGTTTTCGAAATTTCATTTCAATAATAGCTTTTCAATATGATTATGGTTAAAAATTTTTGCTGATTTCATTTTTACTTTGTTTATTTTATCATATTTTGATTTCTTTCAAATTATGAGTAATAATGAAATTATTTTTTGAACATAAGACATAATGAAGTACTTTAAAGTAATTCCGTAAATGCTGCCGTGAATTGGACTAAAAGGTTGTATTTCTTATTGGAATAAACAATGTCGTGTATTCTATAATGTATGTGTTCCTATAGAAAGTTGATTAAATTTCTTGTAGTCATGAAGATGGATCGATAAAATTTTGGCAAGCATCTGGAGAGCATTTACAAATTTTGTACAAATTGAGAAGCGGACGACATTTTGAACGAAATTATGGAATAGAAATGCATGAGTTTTCATATGCTGTTACAATGATTGAATTATGTTTGGATTCTCGACTTCTACTTGTTGCTGCACAAAATGGATTGTTGACGTTATTTCGTTTCTTGAAAACTGAAAATGCTCAAGAAATTACTGTATGTTTATGAAATTATTGTAATGTTTAATTTAATTGCTAATTTCTAATCATAGAAACAACTGAGTATTCAAATCAAATACAAACGAAATGTTCAGTTTTTCGTTTTATCTTGTTAATTTCACATGGTAATCAAATTAAAGTTAGAAGTATTTACTTATATTATCTCTTTATTTAATCGTCGTTATTAAAATAATTTTTAAATAATCAAATGCCATTCTAGGTGATAAATATTCCATGCGCATTTAATTCATTGTCAAGTAACGAAGACTGTGCAAAAATATCTACTAAGAAAGAGTTGAAAAGACAAGGCAAGGCGATCTCAGTAGATTCAAATAGTACAGACACTAGTGAGGGTAGCATCGAAGATGGTTTCTTTCCCATGAAAGTACGGGGAGGAGTACTCAGAAGACCTGCAGGTTATCAGGTGCGTATTGCATATCTCATACATTTATTATATGGAAACATTACAATTCTCTAAGGGAATGCATTCACATTAATTTTGTTTTGTTCTCAATTTGGATTACTTCTATGTCAATTCTCACAGGCTCTAAATCCTACTGAGTTTTTCCATCAATATTCATGGGATAAAGGCATGAAACTTTTAAAATTCATGTGGACAGTTGCAGCCGGATTTGGTATGCATGTTTCCTTGGATAAATGGTTCACAAGCAGATGATATTACAGCAATTGCTTTGAATTCAGCATATGGTGTAATTGCTATTGGTATGTTTCTTTTCAGTCTCTTAACTCAGACGTTTGGAAAAATGAAGCAACAAGATTTTGTTGTTTATTATACCTGTAGTCATCGTTTTTAGCTATTGCGTGCATTGGTAATAATTAATTCTGTTGTATTATTTCTACAGTTTCTAAAATTTTACAAATCCAATTCATTTTGACAGCGTTTCTTGATTTTCAAATAGTTTCCAGGCACATCGATGACTTTAACATTGGTTGATTCCATACAATACACTGTTATATGCTCGTGGTCAACTGCTGATCGTTATGCCTCTCAAAATTCGCCATCTATATTGCTTAGTAGCCAGAACAGTAGTGCAAACCAACATGAAGTTTGTTATTTTTCAATTATCACCACTTAAATGCTTAGGAATTTCAGGTATTATTCATTACAAACAGAAATTAAGTTCATGACCATTTTGAATACATATCACATTATCATATTTTGATTTTGTTAAAGCGTAAAATGAAAATTTATGATCTCAAGTGAGTCATTGCGACTTATGTTTTCGAGATTAAATTACTTTGCTCGTGAAATAGGAAATTTCAAAGACTAATGAATTAGATGATATTTGTGCATTTACTTTCATCGAAAGTATTTTCATTCCTAATAAAACTTCATCGAAGTTTTATTAGGAATGAAAATACATGCTTATGAGGTTTTTGTTCGTACACTTATGTTGCATATTTTTATATATACTGCAGCAGTCTTAGATAAAATTAAAAGTCTTTGATTTGGAATTCATATTGTGAAAATTTTGTATTTTTGTAATGCTACGCGATGTCCTTAATTGGTTAATATTTTTAATAAAACTATTGAAAACAATGATTTGAGCAAATGAATTCAATAACATTTAGGTTAAGCACTTACAGTGGAGTTTGACAGTGATTGAAAATTTTTTAGAATTTTGTTAGAAAATTCATAGTACAGGTATACAATATATTGAGAGTAAAATAACTGCCAGGAAGTTTTGTTTTACTTGACGAGAAGTAATAGATATGGTGAAATCTCTTCTTTATTGTATCATACTCGATGAGCTAAGAGATTTATAGTTGGTTTTGCTTAATAATTTGTTTTGTTTTTGTTTTTTGCGATGGCATGGAGTGGTAAACTAAAGATGACTCTTACGATTTGTAGTTAAAAATATGACAGTTGCTCGAGCATTCATCTCATCAACTGTGCACTTTTCTGAATTACACTATTCCATATTGAATAAACTTTTAAGACACTACGAAACTTAGCTTGGATTATTTGTTTTCAGCTTGGTCAGGATACAAAGCGTAATTTAGACTCGCCTCCATATTCTACTGTCACAAAATCAGCAGTTCGTTTTAATACTGAAAATTCGCGAGGAAATTCGGACAAGCGACCGCAATTACTGAAATCGCAGTCGGTCACTGATTCTAGCTATGAATTTAGGGGTATTTTTTGATATTCTTTACGTCTAATTTAAAATCAAAGTAGCATTTACAAATATGGTGTGAAAATTTTTAGTTGAATCTTGCAGATTTCCGTGTTGCATGTGCGGAAATCTTAAAGTAATTTTTAAACTTTTACTAATCATAATTATCCTCTGTTATTTCACTGTACGAAACCTTCTAGATTTGGCTGTTGCAAAAGCAAACTCAACAGAAGAAAGTCCATCAGGTGCAAGAAAAGCATTATTTTCGGACAGTGTGACGTCACTGAGTTTTATTCAGTCATGTATTAAAAAAGGAGGTTAATTTGTGATTCACTCAGTCCATAAAATCGCGAATACAATACCGTGTGTAGGAAGATTCTTTAATAATATATTTTTATTCTCAATTGAGAAGAGTGTAAAATATTGATCAAATATTATCATTTATTTGATTTTTTTGAAATATTAACTTACTCACAGAACAGTTTGTTGTTTTTACGAATTTTCTTGCAAAGAGCTAATTATACATTTCTGCACTAATTTGGAATTTACTTTACTGTGAAATAGGATGTAACATTATGATATACAGAAATTAGAACCGGTGTAACTGACGAAAGTTTTTATGAAAAAGATAATAATGTAGAACAATGGTTTTTTCCAAGATCGCGGTTGCAAAAAGTAAAAATAAACGGCAAATTAATAAATAATTGAAGACTAGAAATGATTATTTCATTCGTGGGTATTTAACAGGTACTTTAATTTTCTTTGCGGTTTTAGTCTGTTTACATTACAAAATGTTTTAGATCTTCGAGCACATTTGTGTCTTTGGGTTGGTTCTTCAACCGGCTTATGTATTGTATACAATTTGCTTCTTCCTGCGGATCGGTTAAATTCATCCGTCTCCGTTGTTCATAATGGTAATTTTTGTTTGTTAGTATTTGTCAATTATTATTCTAGAAGATTTCGGTGTAAGTTTTATAGAACGTATTAAGTTTCAAACTATGACGCAAAGTTTGAACAAAAATAGTTTCTAACTTTCTTACTTGAATCTTAAAACGTATTAAACTGTCAAAACTATTGAAAAGTTATTGGATAATTATTTACAAAGTTAATTTTTGAGGTGTAACCTTTCAAGGACGCGGTCGCATGCTTTACACTACATTCATGGATGAAAATTTTTGCTTATTAGACGCTGCAGCTGAAAATTACCGTGACAAGGTAGTACTGTCGTGTGAAAGTCAATCTCATTATTTTGTATTTCCATAGCTTGTTAATTATCAATACATCAACAACGTATGATTCATGCAAAATTTACTGTTTCAAATTTTTTTAGTAATAATTTCTTGTGCACTAGCATATTTCTGATAACTTGAAGTCGATGATACATGTTGCATTTTCATTTATTGAATTATGCTCTCATCGTTTAATTGTGAAATAATTGATTCCAATGATTTCATGTATTTCATTTTGAAACATGTCTGTATTATGAGTTATAAAGTTAAATTATTTATTTTAGGAATGTGATCAAAAGCAGTCACAGGATAAAAAAATTTTTGCTAACAGAGTTTTAACAAAAATCAGTCTTTCCCCTACTTGCTCAAATTCAGTGGAACATTCACGAGAGGAGTTCTTGCAAGTAAGATATTCCCTTGTTATTTTTAACAAGCAGTATATATAGATATCTATTATTTTTCTTTAAATACATTAGATTAAAGCGCATCATTTATCTAATTACAGTAATTGCATAAGAGTTATTATGCTCCGTTAAATAATACAAAAATTACTGGAAATTTGGCTTTCAGTTTGTTGTTTTCATTCACGAGGATGAAGTGCACACAGTTGCTTTACCGAATTTCAGTTCTTTGTTTTCGCATTATTCAGAAATTCCATTCGTTAAGGTTAGCTTTCTGTACATTTGAAGACCTGTTCAGAATAAATTTACGTTTTTGGAAAGTATTCTTTTTTTTTAAATTAACAGCAAATTTGTTACCAATATTTCGGATGATATGAGATAAAGTGGATATTTTCATGTGATTTTTGTGGTTTTTCTCAGGCTCGAGCTACTCATGTTCATGGTTATCCTGTACTTATGTTATTGGATGGTGCTGGACATATTGTTGTTCTTAGCCTTCCTAGTTTGAGACTTCTCCACTGCTCAAGTCTATTTCGACATTCTGTTGATTATGATGACCCGTAATTTTTCATAATTATGAAATGAAATTTTCTATGTGTAGTAACAGTTTGTACCTCTAATGAGAATTCAGCAATGAAGTTTTGGCTCCATTAAATTTTTGCAGAGAACGATTAAAGATTAAATTTTAGAAAATGCAAATTTCATGCATTGATTATTTATTTATTATAAAGCTGAAAATTATAGTTTAAGATTATATCATTCTCAAATAATGTCACAGTTGTGGTCGTGTTTTAGCATGTGTTTGAAGACGTCATTTACGGAACATGGGCTGGGTATGTATACAATTACACCATCTGAGGTGAGCGGGTAGTGCGAATTAAGATTTACATAAGAAAAAAGCTGTGTATCACGAGAAATACTGAGTGATAAACTGTTTGTTTCTTGTGTAAGAAAATGAGTTAATTACATTTAAAAGATTTTTTATTGTAATATAACCGAAATTATTTCTTTTCTATGTTTCCATAACCGCTTGCCATTCAGAGCTTTATGAGACTGCTCATATGTTTTCATATAAGAATATTTAACGTTATCTCTTCATAGTCTTTTTTTTAATTATTGTATTTATTATTAACTATAATCAAAGATGTCCACTTTAGGTTCAGAAGTTCACAATATGCTCCGAGTTGGCAAGTCAAGTCCAAGACTCTGTTGGCGATTTATTTGTGCCAGTAGATATGCCTGAATTACCGAAAAGTTCATTTTTGAAAGGAATGTCGACTTTGTTTGCTGCACAAAGAGAAAGCTCTGATCTTGACACTATATGTGAGTTTTTGTACCTATTTGAGTTGTGAAGAAAAATACGATTTGTTTTAGTAATCTGAAATTTTTAGTTACTGATAAGAATTCTAATGCGACAACTGGTAACACTATGCGGTCAGTTGGAAAAACAATACCTGGTCCATCATCCAGTATGGAACAAGTTACAACTCGAGGGATATCTGCTGGTCAAGCGGCAAACATGGCATTGCAAGTAATTTTTTTCACAGTTTTAGTGCTCAAGTTTTACTAAATTGGTTTTCAATTACAGTTTCCATAAAAAATTGATAAATAAATTTCATTTCGTTATACATTTTTGAGCATATTCGAAAACTTTACGTGGTATACTTTTTATGAAAAATACTGCTTTGTGATTTTCAAATATTTCACGAGCATCGATCATTTAGCAAAATAGATTAAAATGCTTCAACTCTGTTATAATTCAAGTTGTTGTGCTGATGATACTTATGCGATACTTTCAAATTCTTTTAAAGATTGAAGTGTTTACCCATTATTTAGGCATTACATGAGCGTGGAGAAAAGCTTAATATGACAGTTGAAGCCACAGAGCGGCTTAAAGATAATGCTATGACTTTTTCTCAGCGAACAAGCAAGTTGGTAGAAAAGTACGAAAAGAAAAAGTGGTACAATTTCTGAGAATATTGACGAAGTTTACTAGTGATTAGTTTTTGATGCTAGTCACTTCAGCAGTCACTCTAGAATCTTATTTATTTTAGTGATAAAATCATGGTTCACACATATTCGCACTTTTAATTCAATTATTTGTTCATAACAGGGTTTGTTTGAGTATGCCAATTGCGCGTTTTTCTGAGTTTTTTGAAAAAAAAAAGGAATGATGCGCATGCATACCTTATTAATTTCTTAAGATCTGCATTCGGGTAATAGTCTGTCTTTTCAATAAATTCTTGCCTAGCTACATGGACATTGCCGGTTTTATAACCTGTTCATACTTTTTCCCCTTCAATTTAGCTTGTTCTAGAAAATGTTCCGTAACAAAAATTAGTTACTATCTTTTTGTGAAAACAAACGATGAGTCTAGAATCTATTTCTCAAAGTCCTCCAGTACTCATTATTCATTCGTTGTACGATTCTTGTTGACATAAATTTTTTAGACTATTACATCTGCTTTCTATATGTTTTATTTTTCAATTTGGGTATCTCAAATTATATTTTGTTTCATTGTGCATAATGATAAACATAATGGCGTCCTAACTGCTAATTATGTATAAAATATATGGGCTTATAAAGTAGCAGCTAATCACTTCATGTCGGTAGTGTAGAAAACTTGTAGTACTAAAAGGGAATAACTCTTTACAGTTTGATTTTTTGAAAATAAGAAATGTTTTATGATTTTTTTGAAGGGCCATAATATAGCTGAAATAATTAGATATGTAATTGAATTATTAGATTTAAAAATTAAGTAATTAGATGTGAATTAGCTGTAATTTTGTTTACTGTTGAAAAGTAATGATAAAATTTACTGCTAAGAAAGTAGTAACATTCACAGTATTTAGAATCAGTACGAAAGCATGAACTGTAAATACGAAAGTAAATTAAACACTGTAAATGTCTTGCTGGTTGTGTAATTTTTGCTGCTTATATGTAATCTGATATCAAAAAGCTGTGGACAGTGAACATGATAGATTCTTGCTAATCGTATTTCGTGTAATTTTGTTTTACTGCATACTTTTCATCTTATTTGGACTTATTTATATATATTTTGTTCCTGGTCAAATTTGGTACTTTTAATATTGCTGTATCATTCCTTAGTAACAGCTATCGAAGTACAGTACCACTTATTACACATCATGCAGCGTAATAAATGCGTAACATGTAGTACGTAATTTAATAAGCAAGTATGGATAACTCAATTTTTTGACAATTAAAGTGTAGCTCCAGTGGTAATGGGCATTATATACTTGCCAATTATAACACGTAGTACTATAGATCTAAAGGTGGGAACGTAATAATATTTGGTCTATATATTTATTATGACGTAATGAGATACACATTTGATGACTATTTGTACCCTTTAGATTGAAGTACTTGGCCTTCTATATTTTTTGCTTATAACTGTACTACTTAGAATTGTAAGCATTTTTTTGGTTCGTATTTTCTGATCTAGGGAAACGTAGAAACTGACTGAATTTGATGCGTCTTCGACTGACATACTTCTACTACTTTTTCCCGTTACTCTTCAAAATGCCACGAAATATGCAATGCAATACGTTTAAATGGTTGGGAAACAAAATAGTGAGAAGATAACAATCGTTCCATCAATTAATTGGCGGTGCACAATAGGTTACAATAAGATGTCCGTAAAATTTAATGCGCAAGTCCGTACCTTTTGGTGGGTGATGTCTTCAATACTCTAATTTCAGCATGGGATATAATTTTTTCATAAGACGCTGTTGCAGAGTATTATAAACATGAAGTTCTTCGAAGATTCAGACCGGCATAGGAATCAAAAATATTATCTTTATCTGTCATGTAACGTTCTTTCGAGTTGGAATGAATTGTATACTGTTGAGTTTTGTGTTTAAAAATGCAGTAAATGTATGTTTTTGACTGGTCTAGTATTAGTAATCGCTGTTTTTTTGGTCTTCACAGTGTTTTCTTATTTGTACATAAAAGAGTCTATGAATAAAGTAGTGTGATATTTTATGCGTAATGTAATATCTGTCATTTTTGGAAGTGAATACTGCTACAGTATTTGTTCTGCTGATTATTTTAATTCGGTCTGTAGTGTATATTTTAATAGCTATTCCACACCTAGTCTTGTATTTACGTCATGCACCTAGTAACGTTTCTGGTATATATTTGCCAAGTAATATATTCGATTAACGCTTAAGGTGAAACAAAGAAAATGGTGTACAAACGTATGGTTGATATTGGTCGTGTGGTATATATTGCCAAAGGAGAAAGCGATGGAAAATTGGCTGCCATTGTTGATGTCGTTGATGCTAATAGAGTAAGTTAATTTTTCTAATATTTCCATTTCCACTAGTATGTTAATGTTCAGGTTCCTAATACTGGTAGTTATCTTCAGATTGTTATATTTTCGGTGCAATCAAAGTGTCAAGTGTATTGTTGTGGTATTTAAAATACGTCAACAATACACTTGAGATATTTAGCAGTGAGATTTATGCCTTCACTTGTTCTGTATGCATTTAAAATACTGAATTTCTTCTATAGCAGAGAAACGCTGAATTATAAAATTATGAAATTTGGATGATCTTATATTTAGGCTTTAATTGATGGACCTTCATCAGGAGTAAGGCGTTCTGTGCGTAACTTCAAAGATTTACACCTAACTAAATTTCGAATACCACTTAGAAGCGGTATGCGCTCTAAAAATGTCAAGAAAGCATATGATGAAGCAAAAGTTAATGAAAAGTGGGCAGAAACTCTATGGGCACAAAAGATTGCTAAAAAAAAACTTGTGAGTATCATTTTGTTTTATCTATATACATCTTGTAGTTTGAAAGCTTTGATGAGTTCTAGGTTTTGAGCTCTTAATTTTTTCTGTTAATTTTCTCATAATTTGTTATTTTGGTCATGTTGACAATTTAATATCATTGTATTCGTATCTGAAATAATTTTGATAGAGTTTCAATTTTTAACGTGATGGGAGTGATTTTTAATGTCGCTCATTATTTGCGTTTCATTATTTCTGTAAGTATTAAGGTTGAAAATTATTTTTTGAAAAAACATTCCGTATGAGATTCAATACCATGCATATTACAGAAAGCGCAAATGACTGATTTCGATCGTTTCAAGCTTATGCGCGCGAAGCAACTGCGAAATAGGTTAGCGCGTGTGCAGATGGCAAAGCTACGCAAATCTAAAAAATATGGAAATAAAACAGAAGACAAAAAGTGAAAGAGAAGGCAATTTAAGTTGCTGTTATTAAATTCGATGGCAGTTGTTTCACTATTCAATAAATGTTCGTTTTTATAGCAAGCGCTTATAAATCCTGTGTGGAGATTCGAAAGTTGAATTTTGGATAGCACTGAAAATTCACTTCACTAAAGTTATTGGGAGATCAAATCCATCTTAAAATTGTAAATATTACTTTACATTATCAGTCTTGATATTGAAGAACCAGCGCTCTGCAGAAGCTAGATGACTATTGGTTCTGAGTAATGGTTATCTTCTTAATCCGTAGCCGCAAATTTCGAGTTTTTCGAGAATGAGTACAGAACGTTGCAGAGAATGGAGGCGTTTTATGCCGTTCTTGGTATAATCACAGCTACTAAAAAATAATGTGCCTGCAGGTTGTCAATGTTAGGATCAAGAGAGGGGATCGTTTTGAGGTGTTCATACAATCGCTTGCTTAGACAAGAAACATCGCCTTGGAATTTTGAACGATTTTAGATGCAAGGGGAATGTATGTCTCCAGTTCTTACCTTCAGGATAAATACTCTAGTTTCACTTGATAGCTGTGTTTGGTACTTAGTTCTTGAACTCCACCAACAGTTAATTTATGGACCGCTAAATGCGACTAGAAAAATATTGCCAGCAGTTCATTCCAAATATTTTAGTCTGTTTTATTCGTATATAAATGAAAGCATGGATCACAGGTTACAGTTCATACGACACACGTACGCGCCTTAAGACATTTCTTGAGCAGTTTTAAAACATTTTGTATGGTGAAAGGATTCCACGTGGGTCAAAGACTTTTTTAATTTGCTTTGCTATCTCGTAATTTTTATCAAGCTCGAGACATGACCTTAGTTCTTGTCCGACACCATGTTCTGAACTGTTGCTTCCACCACGTTCCTTCACCCAGTTCCAAATGAAAGGATACAAGCTGAATTAACGCACAGTTAACTAAAGTTTTTGAAGTTGCAGTAAATAATTCACAAAACTGTGAGAACAGCGGTCACGTAAACAGCTAACATGGTGGCCAAGTGACTATACGTGAAGGATTTGCGATAGGTTCTTAGTCGTTATTGGTTTTATTTTGACGAAAAATTATAATAAACTGGATATTTTTAAATTTAATAAAAATTTGAATTTGATTGATTTTGAATACTGAATCATCACAGCCTGAGTTCTACGGCCATTTTTTTAAGACCACAAGTTTGTTTAGTGCAGTAATTATGACTAACTTTTCAATATCAACATACCTTGCAGTAACTTCCGGAGAATAAGTATCGCATACAACATTTAAATGTAAATCGCTTTCCGCAAAATGGCCAAAAATACAAATTCGCTGCGCTAAGTCCTTAATACGCTGCCGTATCTAAATTTTTTTAAGATCCGCAATTTGTTTTTTCTCACTCTTAAAAGGTAACTAGTAAGTATAACTTCTTTTTAAAACAAATTTATGGATGAAAATTATACCACATCAGATAAAACAAAAAAGTGTTCCATTGGTAAAGAGATGTCGCATTTATATACATAACTGTCTTGCATCGTCGCTATTGGTATAGTTTTCCGTAATTTCCACATATAAGCAGCTTCTTGGGAATTTTCTGCCTTCAGATTTCAGTTCGGGTTACAAACTTTTCACACAAAATTAAAAATCATGTTTGGAAAAATCTCCTATCAATTATGTAGCTTTCTTAATTACTTGTATGTTTCAAAATAGTTTCTTCATCTAGGAATTTGAGCTTTCATGACAGAGCCCAAAAAAGTGAAAACAAAAGAGAATAGAAATGCAATTTTTTCATCCCAAAGGACCGTACTTGCACACCATCCGAACATATTCCTTGATCGACAACTTTAGCTAAAAATTGCTCTGCTTTTTCTTTATCATGCGCTTCATTCGTACCTATAATAGATAAACAGCTTAGAAGAGTTATTCAAAGTCAGTAGTATTATTGCTTTTATTCTCAAATTTTCATGACAATATAAAAAACAAAAACAAATGGCAAAAATTTTCAGATCAGTTAGTTTTCTGGATATATTTCTTGTACATTATAAATACTCTACTAATATGACATATTGTATTACATTTAGTATGAAAGAAATGGTTGAAAACAAAAACAAGTTTTAATAACTACGCAAACCCATTGTTTCAATTAGTATTGTAAATGCTGGATTTGTTGTCAGAACGCTTTTCATCTGCTTTTTTTCCCAAAGACAACGCATACATTCTAAATCCATCAACTCTACTGCAGAAAGAATTTCACATAAGTGTCCTCTAGCTAAACGTAAGATTTTCAGACAACTTTCTGAATCTTGAGCACCTGTAACTGTGAGAAACAGAAATACTGGTCAAATAAAGATAATACCAAAACTTCACACGCTCCTTATTAGAAATAAAATGTTAATTGTTGAAAAAGCTTCTTGATAACTACAATAATTGCAATAGATGCTTTTTCGACATAATTTTAAATACAACATTCGAAGGAAGCATTTGAATAATTGCTGATTGAAAATTGCACGAAAAAATAGATTTATGCACGCTCTGAAAGCTAGAAAAGGCCAAGAAAATCTAGATCTAACATTGAAAAAATAATTCCAGAACATACAAACCCAACATCATCACTTGCGTTACAGTTGGCCGAGGTGCTGCGTGTATTTTTGCGCCAACAATTATACCTAATTGTCCCTCCGCTCCAATAAAAATATGATGGGTATGCAAAGATGAATTGTCTTTTTGTAAAACCGATCCAAAATTAACAACTGAACCATTCTTATCTGCCAAGACCTTCAATGATTATTTTCTAATCACAAGTTAAATGTTCAAGACAAACATGAAAAAGTTCTGTAAAACATACAACATCTAAGCCTAAAATGTGATCATGTAGAGAACCAAAGCGTAAATGCCTTATTCCACCAACGCATGTTGAAATATTTCCACCTATTAAGCAAGATCCTCGTGAGCCAAGGTCCCAAGGCATCATATATCCACAAGCAGATAAACGAGTATCCACTTCCTCAAGAACGAATCCAGCATCACAATCCAGAACACCTAAATTATGCAGATTATCAACCTCACAAACACTTCAGCAAAGCTTCTGACACATTTAATTAAGCACTACATTCTAAACTAATGCAACAAAAAACGGGGAAAAGAAGAAAATATGATAATTCGTATGAAAATTTAAGATCATATTTTTGAAAGCTTTTCTATGAAAATGTAAGAATACAAATCAAGGACTCATTAATTATTTTCAGTCATAGTATGAAAAAATATATACCCGAATCGGGATTGAAAATGAATCGTTTATTAAGTTTCTTTAATGATACAATTACTTCATCATAAACTGGTACCGATCCACCAACTAAACCTGTATTCCCGCTTTGAGGTACAACCGCTAAATTTCGAGAATAGCAGTGACTTACGATTTGCGATACCTGATCGTAGTTTGATGGGAAAAGAACACACTTTGATGATCCGAAAATAATTGCACTCATATACTTGGTACAAAATTTCAAAAGAAAAGAAAGAAACAAAGAAACTCGAATATCGAGAACAAACAAGCACTTACAATTCCAAATATTATTTAGCTTAATTTGCCTCACTAAAAGTGAGGGAGATCAAATATGAATATTAAGACTTATATGCATTAAACATATGCATTGATATTTGCATTTTTATGACAGAGACAAAGCTAGATTAGATGCTACACTAGAATGCTCTCAGTATTTCCGTACAGATACCATTCTTTCAATAACTGCTATAAGTTAAATCAATAGTGCCGACAACCTAAATAAGCTTTACTAATAACCTTTATAAGTTTTCATAAAATCGACATTGAATGGATCTAAATCATGAATTTGAACATTTTTGCTGCCAAGGAGAGTATCAAATTTGCGCAAATCACTATCTTCAAGATAGGCATATTGAGCTCGGGGAGGCCTTTGCACAGCAGCAATTCTTCGAGCGATTTGACACAACACTGTACAACTTTTCAATAACGATACTTGCATGCTGCAATCACATCACTACACTCTATAGCTTTCACTACTAGTAACAATGCTTACTAGAACATACAACTGATAAAAATAAATGCGTGGTAACTATCAAAATATAAAACAACTTCGGGATGTATAATTGAGACAATTACTGAGCAGTTCAGATGCAAAGTTGGTCCAAAATAAACCTCTCTCAGCTCTAAACTATAGAAATTACCACGGTTTCCTGTGAGCTCATTACGTGAAAACACACGACCACAAAAAATATTCATAAATGTCTAATCACTTGTATGTTTGACCCTAACCTTTTAGGATACAAATTGCTGGAAAAAACATAGTATATACAACAAAACTGGCGAATATTAGTACATCCAGTGTAGTGTTTATTGGTTTCACTCAATTTATTGAAGTATCTGTTGTTATATATGAAAAACGAGCAAGAACGCAAAATGAGTACAAGAAGTTTATCAAAAACATATCACATTTTCGATTAGAAAATGACAACATGTGCAATGCGCATTGAAAGAAAGATCTAGTACGAGTAACAAAAAATATGCTTTTGTTTGTGCCTCTCAAGTAGATCTGATTTCGAAGTCACTTTTAAGTATTTCTTCTGATCGAAAAAGATGGCATATTTTAAACGATGATGAGACACGTAAATAAAAACATTTCAAAATAAGTTTATCAATTTATTTAAGGAAGAATTCACTACTAAGTTGAAAAATTGGTTTTTTGACGCTACCAACGACTTTGTTTAAAGTAATACAAATCAATTTCGTTAGTTCAACTATTTGCAGCAGGCCACTTTGAATATCACATAATACACTATGAGACAATTTGAAATCAAGAACTGAATATAAAACTGAGTCGAGATCAAAAAAAGTTCACATTTGGAAGCACGTGACCAAAACAAAAATGCTCTACTTTTCTGAAGTTTCCGATGTTTCCGAAGAAACTTTTGAGAAGACCTCAAAAGCAGGTGCGTGCAAATAAAGAGGTTCTTCCAAGCTTGGATCTACAAATGAATTAACTTAAATCTCGCCTTTATTTCAAAAACGAACAAAATCCTAAAAATTGGTTGACAATTAGAGTAATTCCTACCAGTCATATGCTGAACCCAGTTTTTTAATAAGGACTTCATTTCTACTTCCGATAACCCATCGTATTGCAAGCGCCGCAAAAAAAATTGCTAAAAATATAATAATTAAAGTTTTACAAAACGAGGAATTTATAGTACAAAAAATCTGTCAAAATGAAAAAAAAAGTCAACAAACCTGATACAGCTGCTGTTCTTCCATTGCATCAATTGCGCTGTCATCAAATTTTAACGTTTGATCCAATAAACGCAACATTTCTGCTCGAGCATGAAGTCCACGAATTCCATGCACAAAAAACGACACGCGATGAAGTCTTGATAAGTGGTACTGAAAAAGGAATTATTTATAAAATAGCAAACAGTTTTCATTTATTGCATGAAAGTAATTTATAACCAAATACCAAATGTCCTATGGAACAATTACTCATCTGAGGTAAAACCAGTTCCCTCAATCTTTCCAATGGTGTCTGCAAATCGACATTCTAAAAAAAGATGTTTTACTTTGCGAAATCGTGTCAATAATGTAACCATCATAACACAATTCAGAAAAGTAATAAACTTTTAAACAATATGAGAACAAAATAACATGACAATTATTATATACTTGAATAAATAAAGCAAAGAACAGTAAACAGTAAACGATATCAGAACCTATGCTTCCTATAAGAATAGGTTCTGATATCAGTATTAATTTATAAATATTTCGTACTAGAAGTGATGAAACTGCTTTCAACATATTCAAAAGATTAAAAATAGAGTGACAAAAAAATACTAAATTTAGAGCTCTAAAATGAATAGGGAAAATCATATAATACCAATCCTTGAAGATATTTTTGGAGAGGATGGACATGAACACGTGATGTGCGTTGCAAATTTTCAGCCCAAAATCGTTTTCGTTGATCATTAGTCCAAAAATGCCGAGTTAAAATTAGTCGGGGAAAAAATATCCTTTAAATAAAACAATCACTTAAACCTAAAATTATAATGAATAAAAAAGAAAATCGTATTAAGCACCAAAACAAAATATGAAAATACACAGGACTATCTAGGAATGCATACATAAAAAATCAACAATCAAATAAAGAGAAGAAATTTTTAGATACTTACATAAAAAAATAAGAAAACAGAGAGAGGTAGAAAAAAAATCTACCACCAAAACCTTAACTATATTATATTTCACCGATATTTTTCAATAATATATGGATGCAGTAAGAACAAATGCATGGTGCATGCGTTTTAACAATGAGGTAACAAAAAAGAAAAAAAATAAAAGCAAAAACTGAAATAAAGCATGTAATTTGTTGCATGAAATGAAAACAAAAAATAAGTAAATAAAGTACATTTAAGGAACAAGGGATGAAATAAGCACAAGATGTGTTAACAATTATCAAAATTTAAGCTTACACGGCTAGAGCAAAGATATAAATAGTGAATGGAATTGGAATAAAAATCACAATGATTGCCACTTTCAATAATTCTTCCTTCATCTAGAAATAATATACTTTTACACAAGAATCACAAACTACTTGATCACATTTTACGAGACCTTGAAAGGTACATGATAAATTTACTAAATAATTAAAATAATAAAACGAGATGAACCAGGGCAATCATTTGTCTTCATAACTATAATTATTTGCTTATTTTTGAAAATAAGATAATAAAACTGAAAATAAACCGTTGCATTAAAATAATTAAAATGATCGAAACTAAATTACTGACTTGTTTAGAATACGCAAACACAGCTTACAATGGCACTGAACTAACGTAAATGTGCAACAGAGAAAAAAAAGAAATGTAAAAAAATGTGCCTGGCGATACACTGTTGTAATCCCAAATAAAAGTTTTCCAAACAAGAAGTTACAACAAACTCACAACAGGACGCAGATACTTTCTCCGACTATTGGTATTTGAAGTAGCACTAACAGCGTAATTATGTGGGCTATTTCCAAGGGACACTAAATTTGGCATAAAACATTTAAATAAATTTTTTAAAAGCATATATTCCTTGATAAGCTTAGTTTCTTAACTTTATTAACAAAGTTTGATATCTCGAAACAAAAACTAAACAATAAGTTTTTAAAAATTTCGCAAGTATAATTGAAAAAAATAAAAAGTGTGCAATGAAAATTTTAATTTCTATCTGTTATTTACAAAAAATGTTCCATTACTAAATTTATTCTTTGGATTTGTAATTTAAAAACGCCTCTGGTCCATCTCTTTTTTACATAAAATTAACATTTTGCAATTTTCGTCTCAAATCGAAACAATGAATTGTTTTTTAAAATTTACTTTAAACGTAAAAAAAACTTTAACATATGAAAATTTTTTCCACGATTTAAGAAAACACACAAACACACATAAGCCACTTACATTTCACATCTTGAGATAAGTTAAAAATAAAAACCTGCAGCAAAATTTCTAGTTCAGATCGTTTTAACTGAGATATCTTCCGTACGTTAGTCCTCAAATCATTTTTCAATTGATAATAAGTTTTGATATCTGACCAGCACCATTTGCACCCTGAAATATACGCATACCTGCAAATAAAGGAAAATCGTCAAAAATTTTTATAAAAATTCAGATGCTTTGGAATCGGAAGTTTTGAAGTAGCCAATAGATTTAAACCATATAAGATATAACAATAGCAACAACTTACAATTACAACAATTTTAAAGTTCTTTCCCTTGATTTTACCAATTGTGGATATAGAATATATATAAGATGTTTACCTTTCCATTTAACTTCACTAATGTCATTTCAGCCTCTGTCTAAAACCATTTTTGATAGTAACACACATGTTCTGCAACGAATTTCTCAAGAAATATTGAAAGAAAAAACAAGCTGGTCAGTGGTTAGAAAAAACAGAATTCATACCATTAATAACCATTTTGTGCACAACATAAGCTTTGGGATATCGTCGAGACAAAAATGCTTCATAACTTGTCATTAATCCTTTTGGTTGCTTTTCAACGTTTGAGCATAACTGTCTACAAGTTAATGCAGCAGAAACACTCGTTATAGGTGATAACGTGACGTGTTCGTTTTTCAGCCATAATTCAAAAGTAGTAGTTAATTTGAAATTATTCACTATACCATGAATATTTCTTTTTATCAGCATAATTACTAAAGTTTCTGAAAAAAAAAACCATTTAGTAATATAATAGAACATATATTACATCGAATTAACAACATATTTCTTGGCTATATGAAGTTACCGTCCACCAATATTCAATATTTAGGAAATATTACAATACTTACAGTAAATAGTACTCTGTAGTCTACAGTAACTTTTTCACGTTTTTGAGTGGATAGCATAAGAAATTAATGTTTTTTTAAAACTAAATAAAGTATTCTTCTCAATAAAAATAACTTAAAGTACGAAAAATGCTACAGAATCACACTTGTTCAACCAAAAATAATAGAAGCAAACTCAAAGCACAATCGAGTAACCATTAGGAGATAAACAATGTTAGAGTTGCTTTTTCAAACTAAAATAACACCTTAATACCGAAAGAGGTGAATCACGAAGTGCAAAATAATACCGAAAGAGTTGATTACAAAGTGTAAAATTAGTGTTGCGTTAAATTTATTATGCTTTATAGATTATTTATATAGCTTGCTGGTATCTGCATTAATTCAGCACGTTAGCATGAAAAGTATTGTGCTGATAGTGAAGCTTTAGTAGCACTTTTGTCCATTTAAAGTACTATTTCAGTTTCATTACTTTATATTTGCTGTCGGGTTTTATATTGTTACAAACTTATTGACAAAAAATAAATTAATTAAAATCTACTTTTAATTCTTTTTTAATCAGTATTATTTGAGTAATAACATTATTAATAATATGTAATGACAGTTTTGAAAAAATATATCATACATATTGGCAGTATCGATTATCAAAAATGCTATCTGTCCAACTTTTTAGTACAAATTTTTTGCATAAAATATTGGTAAATAATCAAATTTTTAATTGATTTAATTAAATAAATAAGCACACAAAAACAGTGCTGAAAAAATATCCAAAAAACGAGTACTTATACGTTTGGTAATGTTAGACTTATATATGTTTCAAACCATTCTCAAGCATAAACTAAACCAAAGCATTCAGTTGTGCATAAATGTATGGAAGTGTTTCTTCTGTGGAATAAATTTTTCGCTTATATATGAAGTTTTAATATGACGGAGGAGTATGTCGTGATTGTATTTTCAAGGCATTACTGACCTTTGATTATTATTGATGAAAACAAAAATAAAGAAAGTTGGGATTAAAGTAAATTGAACTTGATGATTTGTAATTAACTAAAACTTAGGTTTAGTTAGTATTAGAATTTTTTATGCTTACTTTTATTCAGTTGCTAATCAATGAGTTATTTAAATTTATAAATAGAGGCGAGCATTATTTATGTTGCGGTTTTTAGTTTCTTCTGCATCAATAGACCACGTAAGCGTTTTAAGTAAGAAAAAAAACTTCTTCGGTCGTGTAATTATTTTTTCTATTTACGCAGAAAAAGGCGAAACAGCAAGTAAGTAAAAATTTATATCTAAGTGGTCTTTCTTAAATTTGAAAGATTTGTGTAAGGTCAAGCAATAGAGATTTATTCGTAATCTGCAAACAGCCTTGATTGAGACTAAGACTTAGTGTATGTCAGCAATTGACAAGTACAGAAACAGATGAAAAACAAAGAGAAACAAATTAATTCCTTCAGCTAATAATGATTGCATAGCACGTGAATCATTGTACAGTGTACTACTCATACTTTCTGTAAATTTAGATTTATAATTTTTATTTTTATTTTGAAGGAGAGTAACATTAATTCGCATATCCATGACATCAGCTAAAGAAATTCCTCAAGTAATGACAAGCTTCATTTGAAGGAAAATTGACAAATCGATAAAATATTTAATTTCTTTCGGGAAGTGTTAGGTTTTATCCAAGAAGTGATATTTTTAAATGATAATTTCAAAAAACTATTCAGAAATAAAATTTTTAATTGCAAACTAATAAGGAAGTACTGCATGCGTAATTTCAGTATTCCTTGAAGCAAGAATTAAAATAAATGTGAACTTAGAAATTTAGAGATAAATACTGAACATGATTACAAAACCGTAATCGAATAAAGGATTAAAAATTAAACTAAGTAAGTCATTTCAATCTCAAACTAGACTTGATACTTGTTGGTTTAAAAAATGATTAGCTATGCATTATTCATAACTAACTTTGTTTAATAGAAACAGCTAAGCCTAAGCCTCATAAAAATAATTACAAAACATTTTAAAACATTTAAAGATACTACTCAAAATTACAAATACTATTTTTAAACTAATCATAAAATAAAATAAAGTATATTTTGCAATTAGTCATGCAATATATTTGTTTGCACTCGTTTTAGAAGAGATAATACTTCTTGAGAACTTTACAAAGACTATTTTATAATTAATCAAAATTTTTTCTGCTCAACCACAAGTATTCAATATTTACATCAGAAAATAAGCTTGCAATGTCATTTCTCTAGTACGAAATAGCTAAGACTTGGAAGTATTGCTACATTATCTATTCTAGAATATGCTGTGAAGTAATTCTTTTGCATTAATTACAAGGGAATATTTCATTAAGTGAGTTTACACTACTTGAAATTAAAACAAAACAAAGAAAATGAAAAGCAAAACAAAAATAGCAATGAATTTTAAGTAGTTAGTTGGAGGGAGAAGTAAGCGGGAGAAGCAAGCATACTTTCACTTTAACAAAGTAAAAAATAAAAAAAGTAAAGCAAAAAAATAGCATCACTTCCATTTTAGCATTTTACAGCATTGAACTGAAGAAAATGAACATAAAAATTTGGCTAAGACAGCTTGCAGTATATATATATTATTTATAATTTTTTGACTCTTATTTACTTTCTTGTTTAATATACTTTTTGCAGACATTAAATATTCAGTTGTGTTCATTTACTCTTAACTTAAATAAAAATGATACCCCTCGCAATTAATTACAGTATTGTACATTTTTTAAATATTTGAAATTTCAAGAGTTATCAAGTTTCAAAATAATTTTAATTTATTTTATAAACATTTTTTCTTACATCTTCTGTTTAGTATGGTACTAACCAGTTCTAACTAATTAAAATTATTCATATTTCAAATAAAATGCCAAGCAAACTAAATGAATACATGCATTTTGACTAGAAAGAAAGCTAAGGTTTCATAAATATCAATTTTTTATATTAAATTTCATTTATTAATTAATTGTTTATATTCTAAGTGGGCAAGTTTTATAGTTTTGCATTTATTTAAATTTTGAAAGTTAAAAATTGATCATTTTAATGATATGAACATGTTGAAGTAGAAGTTGATTTATTTTTAGCACATAATTAAAAACTCTCGGCCGTATATCAAAATTATAAAATATCACACATTAAAAGTAAGTGATGTTTACTAAAATTTTTGAAAGTATTATTAAGTTTTGAATTAGTTTTAAATTATAAACACTTTTTGATTTGTCTTATGTTTAGTACGGTATTAAAAGTAAGTAATATTTAATTACTTTTAATGTGCAGCATTTCATACATTGAAGTAAATATTACTTTGTAAATTACATTAAATGCTGCTAAAAAGTAAAAGCTTAAAGAAGTGCTTTCTCGATTAATATAGAGAGTATGCATTTTTCAATTGTAAATAAGCAATTTCATGAATTGAATATTTATAACTTCAATAACTCGCAATGATGTGAAGGCGCTGAAAATTTTTTTAAACTCACAAGTGAGAAAAGCTTAAAAAATAATTTTGGACGTTGGAAAAAAAACAGCTATTTAGACATTAGCAGTAAAGTCCACAAATAAAATTGACTACTGTGGCTTGTTCCAATATTCACTCAATACCATGAATTCACTGTATTTTTGGAAATTTTGTCATGCAATAATAAAAATTATTCATATTTTTGTAGTGATATATATTATCATCAAATTATTACTTGTGTACAAGATCAGAATTTAAATCAGTATGACTCAACGTACTAAGCTTTGATCTACTCATTAATTTATGCCTTTACTTTTTGCATACTATTTTTTTGCGGTATTTTTTCAGGCCTGTGATTTTGTTTGAAATAAAAAATGATAAGGATTGTATTAAACTGAACTGAATTAAAATAAGCACAAATTAAGCTTACTGTGCTTTGAAAAAATATTCATATCTTCTATAATAATTATGATTTAGCATAATTTTTGATAAATGATAATATCACATATATCTGTCTCTGCAAAATTATTTTAACGATCTGTTAAGCTTTTTTTATATTATTTTAACGATTCGTTAAGCTTTTTTAAAATAATTTCTTTAAAGTAACTTATATTTCTATTTGCAAACTTTTTTGTTCTTCAAGCCAGTCAATTTTTATTTTGCTTGGATTTTTATTCTTCAGAACTTTTGAATCATTTTTCAGACTTAGCATTTTCTTGTTTCTTTTTGCGAAAAATATGTTACATTGTTTTCTGACATAATATCCTTAAATTTCCTTTAGGCCATTACTTTTTCTTACTTCCCAAGTATTGAGGCCTAGTCAGTCTCGACTAGAGGGAGACACATTTTCAGCTTTACTCATTTTTAGTCTTTAGTACATTCTGTTCAGCTTTTTATTGTTGCTTTTACTGATAATAATGTGAGATTAAACTTAAATTGTGTAGTCTAACTTTTCTAATGATTTTTTTTTCACTTTTATTATTCTTAGATGGAAAAGCGAAATTACAAAGAAATCTAAGTTACTTTTTCAGTATATCAAATAAAAAACTTTCAATATATCAATTTTAAAAAATTGACACATATTGCCATTAACTTTGATTGCTTTGGAACAGAGATTAGAACGTAAAATTATCAAATTTTTGTAAAAAACTTTTTGATAAAGGCTAAACTTTGAACTTACCATAATTCGTAATGTACGGATAATTTTGGTTGTAATACAAAGTCAGGACCATTTTTAAATTTGTTAAATTTGAAAACGCAAAAAGAGCAAATTCATAGATTCAAAAAATATTGAAATTGATCTTTTTGTGATCAGTTACAATAAAAAGTTATTTGTTTAATGAGAAAAAAAGTAGTGTGAAGCTTTGCAAGTCATAAATTTGCATA